AGCACTGCAGTGTCCTAGTTGGCACGTATTTTTTATGTGATGAGAAGTTAGTGCTGTTAGGTCTGAAACTACCAACTGACTGCAAAACATTCATTCATTCATTCTTTCCTCCATCAATGTATTCTTGTCACTATTCCACTTAAATTGTGACTTGGCATTCATATTCCTTATGACATCACATTACCATCAATGTAAGTGGTCTCCTCATTGTTCTAGCCCTTACTATGCACTGTAAACAGATGCCATATTGGTATTACAGGCTGAAAATTCCACATTGTATCAAAAGTGCTGCTTGGAATAAAGCTATTATTATCATTATTATTTCAGTTGAAACTGACTTGTACTAATGCCTCATGTTTCATCATTGTACGAAGAATTATCGAATGTCTTTCTTGTTGATATATTAATGAAGGATGTTATATACTGACACTTGTTTCCGAACGGCTCATGTTAATTTAAGGATGTTAGCAACCGAAGAGAATTCATGAAGTAAAATAACCTTTTTTTTGTCCTGTAAACGTGCCTCTCCTAGCTTTGTTCCAACTAATCAAAGGAACAAACAGTTGATTATACAACCAGGAATAGACGAGATATGTAATTTCAAAGGAATATCATTATGATATTGGTACAAATAAAGATAATATTAACTGCTATTCAGTGTTCCCTAGAAAGACAACTATTCTAGTTGTATCTGGGTTGAAGGTCAAGTCCATGGGTGGAAGAGGGACAGAACAGATTAAGCTGTGAAATCTCGATGGTAAATGTTAATTTACCTATGCTTAAGAATCGGTGAGGCAAACAGAAAGTTACTCTCTTAATTAGAATGCTCAATAAGCGTGTGATTTGCTTAACAAGTGATTTGGCTGTGTAACTGGCCTCATAATTACAGTTTAAATTAAAAATGCACCTTGAAATGTCCAGATTAGGGTAGCTTAACTTTCTACCTGCAATGAAATTATTGAAATGAGTAAGGAGTCGTACACACAATGTTGTGGTTAAGAAAGCTTAAACGACTGGTTTTCTCAGTTTCAATCATAGTGATTGCGGAGTAACATCTCCCTGCGACAATAACATCAGATGGTAATGTTTTCTTATGTGTTGTCTCTGCACGTATTTCTCTTGAACTGCTGTCATCGTCCCAGCAACTTTTACAGAACATTCTGAACGTCCGTTCTCCTATTATAATGAATTTCCTATTGATGTTACTTCACCATTCAAAATCGTTTAATCATAATGGTGTCAAGTGTCTATGGTGAATACTTTTGAGATGTAATTTCAGATACTGAGAATAGGTAGGTTTCAGCTTAAACTGTGTTCTCCAATTGTTTGTTGGAATTACATTTTCTTGTAGAATATGCAAAATGATGATATTAAGTTCCGAAGATGTAACCTGAAGAAAAAAATTAACACTTTCTGTGCATCTCAATGGTATTTAGAATAACGAAATTACCTCAGGAGCATATTTTTATCTCATAGACAATTCAGTTTGTGCTGAAATATCTGAACTACACAGAATGGTGCAATAAAGTAAAGAGAGAAGTAATAATTTGATAAAACAAAGACGGACAAATCAACGTACTACTCTGCAGAGCTGTGTATCCTTCCTGACAACCACATTGAAAATCACACGAAAATATCATACTAAAAAACTGGACAAATAAATTTTTGACACAAGACGGATACGCTGACGCCTTCATTGCGAAAACGTTTGAAGGGGAGTAAAGGGGACAGCTGAATGGAACATAGGTTTCGTGTCAAAATACCCAAAGATAGGCTAATTACGCCTCTGGATAAACCGGTGAAGAATAATACTATTGTCGACACCACGAAATATATTAGATCCTGTCATCCATCGAGGAGGAAAAGGAAATTGATCTACATGCAAAACTCCATCTCGAACAAACTGCATTCAGGAAAGATAATTCACGCCTCGAACAATTTGAAATTCAATGCATCATCATACAATACGCACAGTAAAAACTACACCTCAATTTCACCAACTACAAAATAGGCCTACGACAGAGGTGATCATCAAGTAATTTGCAAACTACACTAACATCATGGAGTGAAATGCTACAAATCGTCAACAACTTCATTCAACAGATGGCCACTACACGAAAATGACACGCGACAGCTGATCCACAACACAACACCCATCAGAGAAGGCATTGAAGTCAAGACAGGAGTAAGCCAAAGCCACAAGCTATCACTGCCTACACAAGGAGAAATGACAGGGATAAACTGCACCGATAAGAAGACTCTAGAAGATCTGGACTCCGCGGACGACTTAGCTTTAATGTCACACTGACTCGAACATTCACAAGCGAATACCAATTAACTGCTAGAAGAGACAGGCAGCGAACACAGGACGCCAGGTGAACATACAGAAGACGCAGGTGGTAAAGACAAACAAACAATCAGTCAAACAACCAACCAAATAACCACCGAACAAACAGCAACAACAAAAATAACAACAACGACAACGACAAGAAACACCGATCACAATCAACGGGAGAAATTTGAAAGAAGTCACTTCCTGACTTTACTTGGCTAGGAAGCACTCTCTCAATTACAGCACAACCACATGACACGAATAACGGTGTCGAAGCCAGCCAGCCAGAAAGCATCGGAAAGGAAAAGCGGAACACCTTCACCACTCTGAAATTAGTTGGCACGCACTTCTCTTCTCTACTCATCAGCCCCATAAACAACAACATCCCGATTTTCAACACAAACCTCTAGTCACTCAGTCAGTCAGTCAGTCAGGCAATTAGTGATTCTATGTGGGTCAGAAACGCGGCCAATGTCCGTCACAAAAAGCATTTTCAACACGCCATCACACGCACTATCATCAGTTTCTGGCAGTGCTATATATTGAGCATCAAGTGACGAGTCACAAAGCATGAACAACAACAGACTGTGGGAGAAAACTGACCGAGAACCGATCGTTCAGAAAATATGCATAAGGAAGTAGAGATGGATTGGACGCACACTGGCTGACGAGATCGCCGAATGATATGGCGTTCCAGGCGACTTCTAGAGTGGATGATCAATGGGAGTTCGGCGACGAGTTCGGGATGTGTCCGAGAGTGACATGGAGGAGGTGGTGTGAGTTGAGGGGGAGATGAGAAACTATGTGTCATTGTGTGACCAGTGATAGAGGACGACGGAGAAGTGGACAAAGTGGATAGGTGGTGGTCAATGCGTATGTTTCAATTGGAACCCAACGGAACAATAACAATAACAACTAACAGCCAACACCTGTAACTTACTGTTTCAGTTGTATTATCAGTAGCTGAATCATTCCGCTCAGATGACATTACGGATCCTTGTCTGTGTTTCCCTTCTCTATATTGCTCCAATTCGCACACAAGAGATAGTAGGGAAAGTGGACAATGGTACGGATTTGTGTAAACGGAATTTGTAAATTGATCAACGTCAACATCTCCGTTGTTCGACTGTAAACTCGTCACCATCCTTTCCTCGTCTTTTTCATACTCTTCTGATGCATTTTCACTTATTATTGATTCAGGAGGTTTAGACTGTTCAATAGAATAGAAACTACAGGCTGTCTCAGTAGGAATAGTGAAATTTTTAGACATTTTCATTTGTCATCCCAACGATTCTTGGTTGACAAAACTTATAAGACCATATGTAACTGAAATCAATAATTAGTCATGTCATGAGTTAATATTACTCTTTGTTTCATCAGGCCTTCATCTTCTCTTCAACGTGAACACACAGTTTCGGTAACTTAAAGGATTGAAGTAAGCAGACTGTGTGTATCGTGATCGGCTGACATTGTTTTACCATTGTAATTTATTCGTTTGCGTTCGAAGCCAAGCATACATGATTTGAAGCTTGAGCTTTCAAGTCTCAGTAGCAGTGGTGTCTTTTTACGGGGTGGGTTTTCTAAGCCCTCTTCGACCGAGGTTATTGCCGACTAGGTTTAGAAGTCAGCCAAATGGTGATCGACAGCCAGAGCACATACGGTGTGGTTGGCTAGTATTCTCCCGCTGAACGAACAGCTCAGACTACTATTACTATTCCTTCCATAAAAATAGGTGTACAGCTAAACCTTAATCGATTCCAGCCTTCTTATTTTCATTTTAACAGTTTCCGAAACAACTGGTAGTTGGCACATTTCTTAGTAAATTAGACAGTACCGAAAGCGCCACCAAAATACCTCGGTGAGTAGACATTTCTCTGAAAGCGTCATGAACATAATTACTTATTCAGAACGCGAGAAATAATCAACATGAGTGATTCAGTCCCTCATCAAGTGAAAGATCCATTCAACCTGAATAACTAGATCCCTGCTGAGTTTGATAATACCCATAGTATCTCTCTTTGTGGAAATACGAATCACTATCACTTCAATATAACTAAGCTTGCTTAATCCGTGATGCTGATATCACTTCAAATCAGTATTCCTATGGTATTGGCTGGTTAGATCAAAATGATAATAGTAGTGATAAAGTTCAGCTCATGATTAGGATGAATACTGTGTGCCGTATTCCAAGCTTCGATATTTGACCAACAGAGAACACTGGTCAGTTTCCCAAGTTAAAATAATTTTTCGCATATTTGAAACGTAAACACCACAACTTGTTGCAGTAGACTGACTAACGGGGCAAGGTGGAACTATGCAAAAGATTGCATCAGTTCAAATTGCCACTTTCCACAGAAGCACACATTTCAGTAGAAAATGTAAGCTTAATGAAACTACACTGGCAAAGGAGTGCTAGAGTGATACAGATATTAATCACCCCATCAAAGTACATGTTATTTTGTGAGAAATCTGCTCTGGTTTAATAAATGCAGTTTAAAACACCTCATCTGAATGATATCTAGTGTAGCTGGGGTAAATACAACCGGAAGAATCGATAAAAGTTTGTGAATCAATGTTTTACTATGTGTCAAAAAAATTAAGAAGTTGAATTCAGAGTTTTCTATTAACTGACTCTTAGCGAAAGACCATTAGATAAAACTCTACTTACCTTAAGTTTAATCCTTAGAATATCAAATACACATGGGCTATACAGATCATATAATTGCTTTCCATAAGAGCTTGATTCATTCAAATCTGAAGATCTTTGAGGATCTGACTGACTTTTCAATAGATTCAAAATGGGCAATACAGACGATGGAGAAACAATATCATTGGAGTAGTTTGCTTCGTTTGAGTCACTGTCCGTCTTATCAAGTATAGAGCTATTTGCAAGCATATCAAAAAGTGGAGAACAGTCCTGTGGTTCAGCAAACTTCATTAATAAATCGGTAATAGCTTTTTCAGCTTGCTGAAGTTTTACTTGGGCGTCGTGATATTTAAGAGCATCCATCAAAGCATCCATGGCGATTTGCGTATCGCTTGAATCGCCAGCTGTTCTGTCTCTACTGTGACTAGGGATTACTGATACATTCTGATTTGATTCATTTTTTCTCTCACCGTCTGACGTTACTGAATCATCAATTTGTATTGTAGTGTCAAATGATGTTTCATTACTTGATGTCTCAGAACTTAACACCACCAAAGACATATCAGAATCACTGTTATTATAGTTATTATTATTTACATGATTACTGTCAGCTTCAGAAACCGTCGGAGTAATGTTTTGTGCTTCCACCGGGGTTGATTCACCTGTTAAACCCAAGAGAATAAGGAGAGTTATTATTATGCTTATTACTCACAATAACAATGTCCATAGAAATAAACGATTGGAAAGGAACAAAGCTCAGTCATAACATGTACATATGAACTGCGAATAAACATCATAAAGGCTATCCGCGACTAGATAACCAGACTATTCACTTACTACTACATCCATAAGGAAATAAATTGTGTCGTGAAAAATTCATTGGGGAAGTGTTAGATTGTTCCGGGGAGTGTTATTGTTCCGTTGGGTTCCAATTGAAACATACGCATTGACCACCACCTATCCACTTTGTCCACTTCTCCGTCGTCCTCTATCACTGGTCACACAATGACACATAGTTTCTCATCTCCCCCTCAACTCACACCACCTCCTCCATGTCACTCTCGGACACATCCCGAACTCGTCGCCGAACTCCCATTGATCATCCACTCTAGAAGTCGCCTGGAACGCCATATCATTCGGCGATCTCGTCAGCCAGTGTGCGTCCAATCCATCTCTACTTCCTTATGCATATTTTCTGAACGATCGGTTCTCGGTCAGTTTTCTCCCACAGTCTGTTGTTGTTCATGCTTTGTGACTCGTCACTTGATGCTCAATATATAGCACTGCCAGAAACTGATGATAGTGCGTGTGATGGCGTGTTGAAAATGCTTTTTGTGACGGACATTGGCCGCGTTTCTGACCCACATAGAATCACTAATTGCCTGACTGACTGACTGACTGAGTGACTAGAGGTTTGTGTTGAAAATCGGGATGTTGTTGTTTATGGGGCTGATGAGTAGAGAAGTGAAGTGCGTGCCAACTAATTTCAGGGAGATGAAGGTGTTCCGTGTTGCCCTTTCCGATCCTTTCTGGCTGGCTGGCTTCGACACCGTTATTCGTGTCATGTGGTTGTGCTGTAATTGAGAGAGTGCTTCCTAGCCAAGTAAAGTCAGGAAGTGACTTCTTTCAAATTTCTCCCGTTGATTGTGATCGGTGTTTCTTGTCGTTGTCGTTGTTGTTATTTTTGTTGTTGCTGTTTGTTCGGTGGTTATTTGGTTGGTTGTTTGACTGATTGTTTGTTTGTCTTTACCACCTGCGTCTTCTGTATGTTCACCTGGCGTCCTGTGTTCGCTGCCTGTCTCTTCTAGCAGTTAATTGGTATTCGCTTGTGAATGTTCGAGTCAGTGTGACATTAAAGCTAAGTCGTCCGCGGAGTCCAGATCTTCTAGAGTCTTCTTATCGGTGTAGTTTACTCCTTTCATTTCTCTGTGTGTAATGGGTCTGACATATAATCCAGTCCATCACAGTCTCCTGTTATCGGAGATTTGTGACTCTCATGACGACCAAAACACTTACGGAGGTATGTACTAATTACTAATTACAGGAAAAGAGAATTGGTCACGGAATGCGTCTCTATCCACTTTATTTAGCACGAACCACTGCTGTGTTGAGCCATACTATATCAAGCAGGTCGAAGATGAAATTCATCTGACTAGTCGAAAAAGTATATTTTCTACGGACGGTGTTTGTTGACCATTACGCAAGATACATTGTATATAAAAGCAAATTTAAACTCTGTAATTCAGAAATAAATTGTTCTACTTGCACCAAAAATAAGTGGGAACTCTAGATTGGTCGTTCAAAACGAGAAAGATATTTTTGGGATTAGAAAGACTGTGTGAGGATGATGATTGCCTAACTAGCTTGGGAACTGTGTTCAAACGACCGAATGTAACATGATTATGTGTCAGGCGGTGAGGATGCTTAACGGTTTCCTTCAGGTTAACAAGGCGAGTTAAGCAGTGAAGGTCAACATCCAATGGTGAGTGAAGTATCCTGTAGACTGGGGATTTTGGGGAATTATATGCCCTACCGCAATTATGTCATAAATGAAAACGCAGAACTCCAGTTGTACAGAAAATAAGAGAGATGAAAAGCCCTTTAAGTTTTCAAGAGTTAGTTAGTAGGGATTTGATTTAATTCAAGTTTGACCATAGATTAAAATCAGTTAGAGGACCATTGAAATCCCTCAGGGAGTACTGGACAGGTGTTTTGTGCTAGTTAGGGAATCGTTCCCAGTACTCACCAGCCATCAGGGCTGGTGAGGTTGAAAGTCGAGCGTGTAGACCATTCAGCCACTGGGACATGACTCAGTTAACCATGAACTCTAACTCCTAGCATATCGTGATTTTAGCGCGACTGGCACCAGCCAATATCATCAGTGAGTATTTTTTCCTCCCTCCCGACTTGGTGGACACCACTGGTCATGATTTCTCCCTAGAACTCCAGGCAACTTCGTCCTGTAACCAGCAACTAATTAGCATCAGGTTAATTTTCCAGGAGGTCCAGGGCTCGAACCCTGGTGGTCGGTGCGTAACGTCGATGAGACACAAACTAGGATGAAACAGCTAACCATTGCCTTCTGGCTTTCAATGCTCCTCTAGCTGATATCAATCTGTTCAATAGAAAACTACATGGAAACTTGTATAACTCTAAGTTTGCCTTGATTTAACAGAATAAATGAAATGGAATTTTCAGACTACAGAACTAAACTGCTTCACTGATACACCTAAGTAAAAATACGTTAACCATGGCATAGAAAACATATCAATAAATGTGTGTTCACTGCCTAAAACTATTAATTAATTATCACTGTACACCTAAATCGAGTGTGAATGGAGAGAATGTCGATAAAGTTATAGTAGATTGAATGGGTAGTTTTTCTTTCTTTTTTTTTTAAAAAAAATTTGTTTTATTTAACTTAAAAATCCCACGAAAATGTGCGATGAATTAAGAAGGACAACCATTCTTTCTGTATAATAATAAGAACAGATGGTGAATAGATAAAATAGATATGAATGGAGACAAATCTCCAGATACAATCGGGTAGAAGAAAAAGAATTAGCAATAATCTGGTCAGTCGCTTAAATTTCTACACTGAAAAAGATACCACACTAAAAACAACACATTAAAATCAGAGATTATGAAAATCAGAATCAGTCTAATAGACTGAATCGGCCGCATATGATGAATACACTTCTAGTCTTCATGTACTCATAGGAGAGGAAAGTGTACTGTGAATAAACTTTCTTTTCAGATGAAAAGACGTCATCGCTCAATTAGAGATTCATTTAACTGCGGCTCTCTTTGACTAATTACAGCAATTAGATCAATTTGACAAACAGAATACAACACTATTAGATTTCGTCATTGACAACATGGGAGCAATATACATGCTATCTCATCCTATTTCGGGACTCTTTAGGACAGTGCACACCCACGAATCCACCACAATTCACACCACACACCTTCAACTTACAACGCCAAGCTCATTGACAGTTCAGTTACTTCGGCCGGAATTCAATGACCCGTGGATACTTTCTCTGTCAATTCGTGATGTGGCGCCACCAACCCACAACGCCTCCAATGACGATACACTTTACCTTGACACACTTAACCCCACTGGTTATGACTTCGCTGTACAGCTTCATGACATCCACCACGCCTGTAGCCATCAATCACTTGCAGAATAATATTTAAATTATTGGCTTTTTCTAGGGATTTATATGAACCTCCAAACAAATTTCCTACCGAATCAACGTCAGCTAGAGATCATTGAAAACTGGGGTGCACTGGACAGTTGTGTCCCCTTGACTTCGATCTCTGATGTAAATTTTTGGGTGCACTGTGCTGAACGGTGCCTAATTAGAACGAAATGGTTGTCGAGTGCTCTCTGGTTTCCAGGGTTCTCTAACTGATGTAGATTCGTGATTAAGTCTTCATTGAAATCAATCCAAACCCTCACAAATCCCATAATCAGAATAGAAAATGAAATCACGTTTAGTAGTAAATAAACATTTGAATCAGACTTGCTGTCAATCTCACGTATTGCAGACAGAAAATAAAAGGAGAAATAAACTCTATATTGATGAAAAACAAGTTCCTATTAACTTCAGTCACTCAGCCCTATTTAACTGGAGCTTAGACCGAGACACACATATAGTAACAATAGAAGGTAAGACACGGAAACCAAGCCATATTTTTCACTAATCAAACCTCTGTTTAGATACGTTCAGTTTATATTCGTTAACCAATCACTAAGCGTGTTACTTTGGCTTACATTAAACAACATGAAAAAGAATCATCAAATAAACGTAGTATTGTGTTGCTAATGCAGTATTGAACTGTGGGAATATGTGAGAAGAATATTCCGTTGGAAGACATTTTCTGTGAGACGCCACCACCACAATTTCAATTTGTATATAGAAAGTATGAGCCACATAAATCCAAAGGTGATATAAATAGACAATTATTTAGTGTTAAAAGTGTAACTACTTATACAGATAGTGATGAGACAAAGAGGTGGAGTTCTGATCTCGCTTGGAAACAAGCATGGACTATACACAAAATACAAGATAGAACAACAGAGTGAATTTGTACATATTTCGGTGGGATGTTGAGGTGGGTGGGTGTGAATAGTGAAGTAAAATTATAAAATCGATAAATTCATTTCATTTAGTGAATTATATACCTTAATTTACTACTTAATCCTACCCTCCTCATCTCTCTACCGTAGTACATGCGTAAATATAAATTCACTCTGTCTTTCTATCTTGTATTTTGTCTCCAGTCCATCCTTGTTTCCAAGCGAAATGTAAACTCCAACGCCTTGTCTGATTATTACCTAAATAGTTAGTCTTTGAGATATAACTCGAATTCACTGTCGGAAAGTAGGTTCTGACACCATTTCTTAACTTCTAGTTGATTTTGTGTAGGATGTAGACGAGTGAAGAGAGGGAATCGACGAAATGAAACCAGCACATATTATCCGGCAACCACAAATGTCTGTCTGCCTTCTTCATTCAAAGTTAAAAGCGGCACCGACTGTATGCAATTAACCAGTTTGTTTGGCGACACCGCACCCTCCCACCACTGACAGCTTTCAATGCCCCCTCAATGTGACAAAATATTTCCTAAGTATCTCAAGAATGATTCAAGTGAA